TTCCTTCTGTCCTATTCTGTACTACCCATGAAAATCAACAGCTCCCAAATGATGGCAAAAAACAGGAACTGAGTACACATGGGAAACACTAGGTTGGGGCTGGAGCTCCCCCAAAGATCTGTGCTAAAAAATGTTTCATATTTGATCTACCTGACAGTTTCCTATTAAATTCCACTATATGTCTTTTTTTTAAATGACAAAAATTGAATACATTTATTGCATTAAAAAAAGCTCACATATTATATGTTTCTATTTATATGAAAAGTCCAGAACAGGCAAATCTATTGAGAGAGAAAGACTGTTGGCTGCCCATTGAAGAAGGAGACAGGAGATTGGGGAGCCAGCTAAAGAGTGTGAGATTTAAGTCTGATAATAAAATATTTTAGAATTGATTTTTGTGATAATCAATTCTGTGAATACTAAAAGCCATTGCACATATTAAATAGGTAAATTGTATGTCATGTGAAGTACACATTAACAAAATATTCTAAAAGAATATACAGATACAGGCAACAGGTAAATTGGGCATAACTATGTTACACTAAAATTCTACTTATAAAAGCAGGCAACTAACTAATGAACCACAGTTGGCTGACCACTGTTATAGAATAATAATAATAAAAAACCTTTCAATCTTTCTCTCTGCACCATCTGCACCCCTCACCTTGAGCTCACTCACTTACTAGAAGAAAAAAAAAAAAACTATCTTTTCCACATGTCTTGCAGATGCTTGTGTACAACTTTTGGATTTTGTCCTTAAATGGAAGAAGTGTGATTTTGTTTGAATTCCTTAGTCCTCCCTGTTCAATGAAGTAGCCATTCTAGATCACAAAGTGACTTTAGAAAATAGAAGGAATGTATAATAGAACAACAAGTTATCAAGAGCCTATTATCCTCACCACACAAATCACCACATTAAACCTAAATTGTTTTCATGAGAAAAAAGATATATGTGTGTAAAATATATATTTACATTTAATTTTTTATTTTTGAGCATTCTGTTACTCCATGCTCACAACTGAAGCTAACTCCAACTGCTATAGCCCTCAAAGAATGAAACAGCTATGCTTCCTAGAAGAGTCAAGCAGATGTTATAGAAGGTGCAAGTCTTTTGAGACCAGCCTGGGCTACATAGTGAGTTCTAGGTCAGTCTCAACTACACAGTGAGACCTGTCTCAAAAACAAAAACAAAAACAAAAACAAAAACAAAAAAAAGGTGCAATTCTTTCTTTCCTAAATAGCATTTCATTCTTTATGTACTTTAAACTTGGTATTTTACAACTATTTTATTTTTTTTAAATGGAATTAAAGTGTTTGTAGTAGGAGGGGGTGAAGGGAGGGTGGAGACAAGGGGAAAAAATGAGAACCAAGACCTGTCATGTAAAGGTACAAGATCCCAGTAATGAATGTAACTGTACTGTATACCTAGAATGTACCAATAAATTCAATTAAAAAACTATTATTTTTTAAAAATTATGAGAAGATATAGTCTCTGATTAATCAATACTGTAACTTTTTTTAAAAATTCAAATTTCATAAATATAAGCAACACCACACTTTTAAAGCAGAACAGTCCCACCATATGCTAAATTCCTGTAACTGCAAATTCCAGGGCCTCACCGAAGTCCGGTGACTAGGTACAGAATCTGTATGGGTTTTCTCATGAACCGTTTGTGTGTTGGCTTGTAACTTTCTCTGCTGTGCAGAACAGAAAAAAAACAAGGCAAAACAAAAACAGTCCTCTACATATGCAACTTTCCTTTACAGTATTAAAATAATGTCTGAAAGGCTGGAAAAGATTCACAAACCATCTCCAGACATCACAATACTTCCTTTCATTCATAAAAGTAAGCTTTCTGTTATTATTATATTTAACTTATAAAAAGGAAAAGCTTATTTTGGCTTACAGTTTTGCAGGTTTCAGTCCATGATCCATCGGCCCACTTTTTTTCGGCTCTGTGGCAAAGTAGTACATCATGGCAACAGCAGGTGTAGAGCAAAGTTACGCACCTCATATAGGAATGAAAATTGAATTGAAAAAGAAAGGAAGAAGGGACCAGGGTTCCACAATGCCTTTCAAGAGCACGCCCTGAATGACCTTTCTCCCATAAATTCCACTTCTTAAAGGTCCCTCCTTTTCCCAGTAGTGCCAAAGGCTAGCAATCCAACAATTCATACACAAGCAGCTATTGGAGAACATTTAAAATACAAACTATAGCAGGTTGCAAAGTCATATCTCCTCCATAAAGTTGTTTTAGAATCACACTCGACTTTTCACCCAGCACTCTCAATTCATTTGTTAAAACTCTGACCCAGAGTGTGGCTATATTTCGAGATGGGTTTTCTACAAGGAGTAATGGTTAAATGTGGTCATGAGTGTTTCTGATTGGACAGGATTAATGTCCTTATAAGAAGAAATATCAAAAAACATCCATTCATCCTGTCCCCTCCCTCTTTTCTCCTTGCCCCTTGCCCTCTACTTTTGTTCTGTCTTTAAACAGGCACAGAGAAACAGCCATGCAAAGACAAAGAGAAAGCAGCCATCTCCAAACAGTAAGATATCCTCTCACCATAAAGCAAACTGGCCAGGAACTTAACTTTGGATTTTTGGCCTCCAGAACTGTAAGAAAAAATAATTTTGTTGTGTATGCCACCTACTCTCTGTTCTTTGGTAACCCAGCAAATACATGCTCCAAAAGGATGGTATGAATTGCCTTGCTTCAGCATCATTTTCCAGTTACCCTTCAGTAAAAATCTGCTTAAATACTGGCATGGGTATAAGCTGTCTTTACACACACTGTGAAACTTCAACTTGAGTTTTACTCTCATGCATGATTTTTGGGGGGTTGTTAAAGCATTTCTGGAAGGGTGTCTCTGACTCTGACTCAGACTGGATTACCAAAAATCCTGAATTGCTCAGAATCGAAGGCTCCTTGGGACTTGTAACTTTCAGTACTACAGGAGGAAACGTTTCAGGGAAACTATGACAAGTAGCTCACCCTAGATGTATTCTATTTCTCCAGTTACTTCTCTGTCTATAGCTCTGTGCTGTCTAATAATCTACACCACACAGACTCTCTTGAAATTTCATCCCCTTTCCAGGCAGTCCTACTGGGTGTGTCAAAAAGGCTCCAGGCCAACTTTTTCCTCTCATGTGAGCTACATCTGATGCACAAGAAACATTGAAGTATCATGTGCCCTGACACACTGTGGCAGTGACAGATGATTTCTATGCACCCTCCCTCATTCCTCTGCCAAAACTTCTCACTGGTTCATCTCCCTTATTCTTGAAATTTCCCAGATGTGAGTCAGAATAATATTGCACCTTTCAAAATCTGGGCACACTTAGGAAGTTCTCTGACATGAAACCCCTCTCATTAGACTTGAAGGAGATTAGGGAAACATAACAATGACTATTAAATGCCTCCTAATGATATCATGTTTCAAAAAATGTCTTTCAAGACTTGGAACTCATGAAAATTTTCAATAATTGTAAAACAAGTTCTTGGATCGTGATTGCCAAATTCAAGAAGCAAAATTAATCAAGGCCCCAGTTAGAAATCCTTGGCCACATTTGTACCACAGGGTGCTGCTATAGCCAATAACTGAGTGCAGTACTAATAATAAGGCAGGCTGGTAATAAGGAAGATTGCTCTGACAGGTGATTTTAGATTGAGGATTCACAATGATCTTGCTGAATCTTCCTTAAGACTGTTTAGCAGCCTAAAACACTGTCACCAACCTTCTTGCTCTCTCTTCTTCACTGTTGCAGACTTTGTGTTGGCTCAGAGCATCCTTTAGCTCTCTCATTCTCACTCATAAATATTTTTTTCTAACATTTAATTCCCCTGACATTTAATTCCATTATAACCCTTTCTCAGAGATACTTGGAAGTATCAACAGATACTTCTTTTGAAAATATGCATTTTATCACTCACTTTGGTGTTTGAGTTGCTTCCTTGTGATGTTACAGGTAAAATATCCAATTCAATATCCAGTTGTTACTAATCATGGGATGAATGAATGACGTGATAAGAGGGAACACTGGGGGAAATATGAAATTTTACTTTACTCCTTGTTCATCTACACCAAATTTCAGTTAAAATATAAACACAAAGGTGAATTTTGGGGAAGAGTTATCATTGTGGTGATGAATCTGTGAGCAGGAAAGGTGTACAGTATTTGTCAATCTACCCATTAGTGGGCAACCAGGCTGTGCCAGGACTTTGATAAGAAGGTTGCTAGTAGCTTGGAATTTCAAAGTAAACTCAACCCTCAAATTAGCATCTTCCTTTCTTACTCTAAATATCCCTGTCTCATTTTTCTCGGCTGTCTTCCCATTTCTCCTTGTGTCATTGTTTAAGTGGTCACCGATAAGCAACAGTGGGAAATGGAGCTTGCGGTTAGAGGAGGAAGCTTTAACTTGAAACAAATTGCCTAAAAACATACCTCAGTACAAAGCTCTACGTTAGATCCCCAACAGAGGGAAAAGCCTGTACGCCAAAGAAAGCAGAATAATAAAAAAAATTTCTTAAACATCGCAGCAGCTGTGGTTTGAGCTTGCCATTTCTTGGGCAAGAGGATGCTGAGCTGAACCGGATACTTGCAGAAGTAACACAGCAGGACACCTACTCCAGGGACTCGAGCTTCCCAAAATGAAATCACCAGGGAGTTGGTAGTATCTGGGTTAGACACCAGCTTCATCAAGAATTTGCCTTTTCTTAGCCTTAGTTTCCCCACAACGATAAAATATAACTGATACTATCTTCCGGCTCTTGGGGTTGCTGAAAGGATAAAACGGCGTAACGAAGCTGCTACTGAACACAAAGCTTGACACTGAGAAACGTATTGGTTGGCAAAAGGACTACAACAGCACACCCGACGTACCCGGGCTGCTCCAACACACCCACTTCCTGGCGCCCCTTCACCTCAAACTCCCTCAGCCTAACGCGGATCCTTCCGCGCCGGGTCACTTCCGGGAGACAAAGGACGCAGAATACCCGGATGCAACTGTCATGGCTGCTCCCAGTGAAGAGTCCCGCCTCCAGTGAAGAGTCCCGCCTCCCGACCCCCGGGGAGATCGAGTCTGGGATTTCCCAGATGGCGCTCTGAGCGTGGGCTTCAAGAAAGGGGATCCAGACCTGAAGGCTGAGACTTCCGGGCGGCAGGGTGCCCACAAACAGTTCCAGGAACTGTACACGCTTCCTACTAACTTGCCAGGTTTTTCTGGAGAAGTCGCCTCTCTTGGCAGGGTGGGACTTCCCACCCAGCCCATCTTCGTATGCTAAAATTTTGTTCTCGTCACTCTGCAGTCTGTAGCTGGGCTGGCAGTGCGACAGTATCCTGGGAGGAAGGGAAGGCCAAAGGCTCCAACGGAGAGAGGTGAGGCGCGCTGGGGACTCCTGGGCAGCGGAAGCTAGCTAGAGATCTCTTCTGAATGCAACCTGGAGCTGACAACCCCATTGAGTCCTAGTCTTTATCATTTCCCCTGAGATGTTCTGAGTTGGTCATAAGATTCTTTATTGCCGATCTAACTACATAAAACCAGTCTGTCCTATCCCAGATCGACTTTGAAAAGAAAATATCTACGATGGCAATAGAGCAGGCTAGTTATTTTAAAAAATCTCATACATAAGCTGATGCTATTTTTACGTTTCAGAATTAATAAAGTTCACATGTTGAGCCATGTGATAGTTTTCTTTAAGGTTTAAATGTGGATGTATTAGTGCTTGTGAGATTTTTAACAAAATCTTATGAAGTAATTAGAATAGATTAATATTGAAAATATTCAGAAAATTCTTGAATTTTGCTGCTGTGCAGTTAGTTGTAACAGGAAGACACCAGAGTTGTTAATAATAAGGCTTTGATTTCCAGAAGCTTCTGAAAATACATTCTGGGTATATTAATTTGAGTTACTTTTCTCTGTAAGTTCATTAGGTTTTATCATTAAGTAAAACAGGAACGAGTGTGAGTCGATTAATTAACTCTTTCTAGTAATTAAAATGACTTTTTAAGCACTTAACTATATCTGGATTCAGAATCTTAGTTGAAACTTTTTATTTGCCTGAGATATATAATGAGCTGATTTGAGAAATAGTTACTATTTATAAAATAAAAGATGTATAAACTAATATTTAAAGCATGCTGACTCTATGTAATAATGTTTTATGATTTAGATTTTCACTTAAACTCCCAGAATTGAAGAGCCGACCTAAAAAAAGCTTAAAGGAGAGGGGAGTGTGGGCCTTTACCTCCTTTTCTGAACATCTCATTATTTGAACAGAAAATAACAACATTAGAACGCACCTGATTTATTTTTACAATTACATACCATATGCAAAGCACTAAGTTGGTAATGGATGAAAAAGTGCCTTAATATATGTAAGTAATGTAATGACTTATTATCTCATCTTCTGCCAAAATTGTCTTCCTATAGTACATTTTAACCTTCAGAACTTATATTTTTATGTGTATGTATTATATAAGGAGCAATCAAAATACAGTTAATATTTAACTTATAATATTTTTATTACACTAAATGGCACATTGCTATTAGTCCACCTGAAAATAACCCCCACTCCCACTTCAAATACATTTATCCCGTTGTTCTTGTCACTTTCTGAAGCAGTTCGGGAAGTCCTCTTTCTTGAGTGTCTTAAGAGCTATGATCAAAAATGTGGTAAATGCTTCGTCTGATTGAGATTGTGCTTATAAATGCATTTATGGACATTAAAGTGTTTAATGGTCATAGATGGTTTGGATTCTTAACTTTTTTTGGTGTGGTTTCTTGCAGGTAAGTCTAGTGAGTTCTTGTTACACTGTCTGGACAAATTAATGTTAAGGTGGAAATTTTTATTGTATTAATTCAAGCATTTCAGCAGTCTATGCAGTTGGTCTTATACCTAGATGTGGGTTTCATCTACTTGTCGGGTAATTGAGGATAACTTTAAGTTATGTTTTACTGAATATAAAGTTTGATCCTAAGCAGTTGGAATTTATGGAATACTCAGCATTTGCCAATCTCTGCAGTTAGTCCTATACATACATTATCTTAATACCTAGAATAACACTGTAAGGGTTATTAAATTGCTATTTTAATAAATGGAGTACCTAAGGCAGAGGAGTAAATTACTTGTCAGTGGACAGAAAATAGAGCCATATTCTTATCTACTTATCTTATATGACATCCCTGTCTCACCTTAACAGTTGGTAGAAGAAGAATGAAGACAGAACACAGACCTGGAATCTGTTTACTCTGCTTTGTGAATTGGAACAAGTGATTTAAACTCTGAATTTAATTTTCCTCGTATGTAATAAAAATACTTTGAACTATTATGTTTTATTGAATCTTGAATCATCAAGAACCCTTAAAAGGGTGCTTTTACCATTTATTCCTCTGTTACTCATTCTGCAAGTTTTGTTACATCACTGGTAGTGACAGCTTTGTCTCTATGGCTTCCTGATCTGACCACATTGTAAGATGTGACTGATTTCTGAGATGTCAAAATGTAAAATGATGTGCCTCTTGGGATTGGTGAGTTCCTTTTCAACCCAGATTCTAGGACATTATACCTTTATAACATTTTATTGCTCTGTAAGTGGAAAGGTAGAAACAATTTTTTTTCATATGTGAATCCTTCATACCCTAAACAGTACTTAGCATGTAGTCAGTGCTTGGTAAAGAGTTGCTAAAAGCAAGTCTTCATTTCATATTACAAATAACAAAATTTTAAAAATTGTTTACAGATTGACATGTAATAGTATCAATAGTGCAAAAATATTTTGCCACCATTTTTGCATTCAAAAATGCAATTATATGGCCAGGGATTTAGCTTAGTAGTGCTGTGCCTGCCTGGCAAGCTCACGGTCCTAAGTTTGATTCCTAGTACCAGAAAAAAAATTTACAAATGCATTTATAAAACAATTAATCTTTTTTTTTCAAATACCATTTTTCCAATCCTGATAGTAATCAACTATGGTGTGCTTTCTGTTCCTTAAGAGGCATTATTAAATTGAAATGGTGGCATATGCAGACTTTAAAACAAGCAGCCTGATTTTATTTTAACTTTTTTTTCTTTTTTTGTACCAGTGATCAAACTCAGGTCCTTGCACTTGAGAGGCAGGTGGTGGAACCACTGAGCTAAATCCCCTGCCCCTGATTTTATTTTATTTTGATTTTTTTTTTTTCTGGTACCGGGTATTGAACTTTGGTCCTTGTGCTTGCAAGGCAGGCCACCGAATCGCTGAGCTAAATCCCCAGCCCTCATTTTATTTTAAACTGGGCAACATGTAGGAGCATTGTTTATAGAGAGTCTTCATTTTAAGAAAAGTTGGAAACATTATTTGATAACTTTTAAAATTGTTATACTATGGCAATGTGCAAATAATATGAAAAGTTTTTGAGGCATGAATTTTAAAAACTATAATTATTTGAATAGACAGAAAAGTTTTCAAGTTTTGAGGTGGGCAGGTATAAGATAACATAGGGAAATTGTTCAAGGGATATTTATAGTCTTTCTAATGAGGTCTGGTGACTTGCCAGTTAGACCCAGGAAGCGAGCACTGGAATTACGGAGTTGTAGACTATTCTCTTTAGATAATCAGCTGAATGCTATGGACAGAAAAAGCCAACAACATATGAGATATCATCGGGAAGGGGTTTGGACGAAATTTTTAAAATCTTACTTTCAAACAATACTAGTTTATTTAAATGTCTCAAAAAATAGAAATCCATTTGACCCAGCTGTTCCCCTTCTAGGTGTCTTCTCAAAAGTTAAAGCCTTTATATTACAGCAATACATGCATACCAATGTGCATAGCAACACAATTCATAACTAAATCTTGAATTCAGCCTATGTGTTCAGCAAAAGAGACTGGATAAAGAAAATGTGGTATCTATACATAATAGAACACTACTATAAAGGATAAATTAGAGTTATTTTTAGGAAAATGGATGAATCTTGAAAATATTTAAGTGAAAAATATCTGTCATACAAGCTTAAATATCACGGCTTCTCTTACAGGAGAAATCCTATTTTATAACAGACAGAGCAAAGTAAAAGACTGATTAAAGGAAACAGGAAGATAGATGTTTTACAAATGGAAAGGGGACCAAGAGGTGGAAGGTGGAGAGGGAAAGGTGGACATAAAAGATTTAAGATGTGTTATTTACATGTACCAACTACCCACAATGAATATAATTATTATGTGCCACAAACATGAACTAAAAAAATGAAAATGGGGGAATGGGATCTAGATGTGGAGAGAGGGAGGGAGAGGAGGGGAAGGGGAATAAAAAGAATCAAAATATGTACATCCCTAAAATGAATAAATTTTTAAAATCGTATATTTATAAAGCATCTGTGACACACATGCAAGGCAGTATACTCAAGACTGGAGACAGAATTTGATGCAATATCTGAACTTTTCAGAAAAATGCACTCCCAGGCTGGGGATTTAGCTCAGTGGTTCCGCCGCCTACCTTGCAAGCGCAAGGATCCGAGTTCAATCCCCGATATCAAAAAAAAGAAAAAGAAAAATGCACTCCCAAGCTTTTACTCAACATTTAGCACATATTATCAAGTGTCTCACAGAATGTTTAATACTTGATTACCACTCAATTAAGAAACTTTGTTTCAAACCACGCATGGTGTTGAAACCTATAGTCCCAGCACTTGGAAGTCTGAGGCAGGATTGCTGCAAGTTCAAGGTCCTGAGTTCAAGGCCAACCTGAGCTACATAGCAAGAGGCTGTCTCAAAATGAGCAAACAAACAACAACAAACCCAAACAAAAAAGAAAAAACTGCTTCAGGGCTTCCATCCTATTTTGTTAGATTTTATAGAAACGTTAAAAAAAAATTCCCTCAAAGAGCTTCAATATAAAGAAGAACGTATAGAAAAGTGGAAATGAAAACAGTTTTCCTTGGAAGAGAAATCTTGCAAACACTTAAAACTTTCCTTAAAATATTAAGGGCTGGGCTCAGCGGAGGGCAATTATCTAGTGTGTGCAAAGCCCTAAGTTTGATTTCCAGCAACACTAAATAAACAGTAAAAAATTTAAAACTAAGACTCCTAAACCAATTCTTGAGACTAAGAGTCAGGAAAGAGGTAACATCATTAAAAAGGAGAAAATGATGATAGAGCTGATAGTTACTTTGTGATTAGACTACAGTTCTAGAAGCTTCTATTAAAATTCCAAGGATACGTCTTCAGAGACATAGGGCTTCTTTGGTGAAGGTGGTTTAATAATTCCTCACTTGGTGAAATTACTTCTAGTGAGAAGAGAAGGAAACTGTCTTGGGGTTGATATTTTGTGATCATAAGTAATAAAGTATTTGCTTTCTGGACACTTTCTCTTTATACCATCCAGGCTTTACCATCCCTGCAAAATGAGTGGGTGTTAAGAAGATGCAGCTCTATTTTATATTAGCATGCTTATAAAGAATCTTAGAGGTTCTACAGTAGGGTTCCTTTAGTAACTGGGAACACTAGGTTAGACAATGGTGAAATTCATGTTTCTCCTTTTAGTGCTGTTTCACAGGAGATAAAAACTCCCAGTTTTTTTCATACAGTGAATACATATTTGGTATTGAACCCAATCACTTTGGATTCAAGGCTGGGCATATAAATGATGACTAGAAATAGATAAAACCCCTGTTCATGAAGCTAATGGCTTAGTGCAATGAAACACTAGTAACCAGAAGTCACAGACAAGAATAAAAATGTAAATGTAATGAATATTACACAGAGAAGAATTAGGGTCTATGATTGTCTGTAACAGGAGAGTTTTAATTGTGCCAGGGAGCCCAGGAAGTCTTAAAATGATACTCAAGTTGAAAATACGTTAACTAGGTAAAGAGGGAAGGAAGTATGCATATGATAAAGGTGCTAACATGGGCAGAGGACCTGTGGTTGGAGAGAAATTCAACTAGAAGAAGGGCTGAACAGTTGGAGGAGAGAGTGAGTAAAAGAGCTCGAGGCCAGATTTGGAGAAGATATTCTTGGCTGTACATGGAGAAAGAATATGTATTTATAAAAGATCATAGACTATATGCTGTACAGTCTAAGCTCTCCTTAAAGTCTTATGTACCTTGAATATGAACATATAACCCTGAAGTTGGAGAATTGAGTGTTGGACCCTTGAGAATCAACCTGAAAACTAAAGAGAATCTCATTTTAAGAATAAAATTCATTTTCATACACAAGCTTGAGATCTTTTAGCTTGTTTGTAGGGGCCAATGGAACAATGTTTTGTTATTATTCGTAATGTTTCCTTTATTCCATTCCTTCTCTAACTGCCGTCATCTGTAATCCAAATGCAAATTTTGACTTTATTCCTAAAGACATGTACCTGTGGTAAAATCACAAGAAGAAAGTGTTTATCTTCTTCTGCACGTTTTCTGTGCTAGTGGAAGTTTGGCCACTAAACTGAATAAGGATACTATGCTATACATCTGAGTTTGTACGAAGTGCAGTCCTTCATATTATTGGTTTAGGACATTCATGGGTTATGGTACTCATTTACCATAATTGTGGTGGGTAGGTGTAATTAGCTGAAATCTTGTTTCAAAAGTCATGTTCAGTACTACTTGTAACCTCAGCAGCACTAGTAGCTGTGAGCGTAGGAGCCATGAATGTAATAAATCTTCAAAAGACATGGGGAGCATGAACATTTTAGTCTTCAGAAAAGTAAGTAGGGAGTGGCATGTGTATAAACAATCTTTTAAATGAGATTATCCATGTATCCAAAAGATACCATTCCAGGGATGAGCCAATGAAATCTACATATATCTGCCCATATTGGGGAAGAAAATAGGAAATTACAGAGCTATCTATGTTGCTTGTCACACTTCTGGCTGCAAGTAACAGAAATCCAGGCTCAAAGATTAATGAAATTAATTTATATTACAACCTCTAGCCGTGGGGCAGGCTTCAAGGTCGATTCGCCGCCCAGTGAGTGATACCATCAAAAACCCAGGATGTTTCCCACTTTCTCAGTCTTTTTCTGGCTCTGGTGTTGAACCCAGGGGCTCACACACACTAGACAATCACTCTACTTCACATTCCTAACCTGTCGTGTTCCGTGTTACAATTGCGGGGGAGGTAAGGTGTGTAATTATCACCTGAACACCAAGCTGCAACAATATGGCCACAGAAGATCTAGGCATCCTGTCCAGAGCTGGCAACATTTGATCCACATTGTTAGAAAACTCCAAGGAGCCTCTTCTGTCTTACTGGCCAAATTCTGAGTATGTGCCCATTTCTAAACAAAGTAATGTGTAGTTTCCTTCCCATTCCAGACTTCAGGTTGG